TAGGGTGGTTGGCAAGCTTATTTAAGTCTTGCTTGCCTTGCCATAGTTTTAATAGCTTGCCAATATAATAGGCGAGTAATGGCAAAAATGGCGAGCTTTTAATTATTTAAAATTAGAATAGCTAATAAAATTATTTTGATTTTATAATTATTAGCTGCCCAATATATATCAGATGTATTCCTATTAGTAAGTTTTAAATCGAAATTAGTAAATACTTTATGATTATTCTTTTTATATCAATTAGAAGTTTCACCTATAAGATATTGTTTAGTGTTTGTTTTCTAGTTATTTCTGACTAGAACAAGATTATATAACTACTTAGCATTTCTATATATAGATAATTATATACTATCTACTTTATTTATCGTTATTATTTAATTGTATTAGTATATTTTGTTATACTATTTCAGGTATTATATAAAAATATAGTTTAAAATATCTAAAAACTGGTACATATAAGTATAAGCTTTCAGTACAAATTTAATATAAAATATCGTTAATATCAAGACAATATTATATGAAAATTTATAATTAATAAAAAATACATATTTAAATATAATATCTTTGCTCTATTATACGTACTTAATTCCTAGTATATACTAATTATCCATTATTGTATTTATATCCCAATCACTATCGTTATTTTCATCAATAACTAAACTTTCATCTATAAAATTATTTAATGCAGTTTGATTATAAAAAATAGGATCGTTAATATCAACTAATTGTTCAATTATGAACTTTGGTGTTAAATTTGTAATGTCTTCAAGTTCTGCTTGTTCTTCTTCGAAAAAAGTCTCTAATTCATCTTTTAATTCTATAGAAGTTAAAGTATCATTAATATTATCATCCCAATCATCGATATCATAAATTTCTTCTGAATTTATTTCATTATCTTGTTTTGAATTTTTGATTTGAATTTCACTAGATTCATTTTGACGTAACCAGGTTTTAATTTGACCTATAATTTTTAATGTATTAGTTCTCATATTATTACGGTACTTTGTATTATTATATCCAAGAATTGAAAAACATCTTTCTGTTTCTGCTGCATGAGGAACAAGAGAAAGAATACGTTTAACAAATATAACAAGAGCAGCATATTTTGGATTTAGAATATGGTCCCAATATATACGTGGATCATCTATTGGAATTCCCTTATCTAAATTAAAGTCACCAATAAAATTTAAATAATCTGCTAGTCCATTTTTTATGTCTAATGCTGATTGTTTATTCCAATTCCATTTTTTTATAAGGTTAATTGCAGTTGTTTGTATATCTAATAATGTTTTTTCTTTTGAAATCGCAAATTTTCGAGTTTTAGGATAACAAAATATTGCTAATGTACAAAGATCTAAATCAAGTTCTACAAATCGTTTGTTGTAAACTTGACATATATGAAGCTTAAATTCATAATTTTCAATATCATTAAATAATGAAATTAGATTTTTTCCTAAATAAATTAATGATAAATATGCATCCGCTAATGTTGTATTTGCAGATTCTAATTTTTTAATAGCATTATTAACAGGTTCAAGTATTTTCATTAAAAGTTCATTATTTTTCCAATGATTCCTGTCTTCAATAATTTGAATTATTTCATGACCTAATCCAGTTTTTGATTGTTTAGCTTCATTATGATTAAGAAGTTGACAAAATCCAGATTCATGTAAAAATATTGATTTTACATTATTATATGCAGAGTACCAGCGAATATTAGTCCATGTTGCTAATCCATGATTAACATCTGGTTGAGCTTGGTGCCAAGTTTCTAAACGTTTAGACCAAATATGTGATGTTTTAAAAAAACTTATTAATTTGTTATTTTTTATCATAACTTCTCTTGCAATAGAATATGAGAGAATTCCTTTAGAAATAAGATTAAGTAAATGTAAAATACATCCAAGACCCGTAATCCAAGGATACCTTAATTTTTAAAAATAAAATTTAATTAAAAATTATACATATTAATATATATTAAAATTAATAATTTAAAATTTACCTTTCAGATATAATTTTACGGCATTTTTTCATTACATTTGGGCTATCAGTTACAATCCAGCTAAATTGTTCCATATGTAATCCAATTTTATTAATTGTCTCTATAGCTATATTTGCAATATTTTCACTTGTATGACGTTGATTTTCAAATTCTTCTAAACCTAACATATGAATATCACCATAACTAGTTATAGCAAAAAATGCATAAACAGAACTATTTGAAATAGTTGTCCAACCATCAAATATTAATGTTAAATCTTTACAAAACTTTAAAGAATCTATAATTTTTAAAAGAATTTGACTATAAATTTTAGGAATTAAATCACGAATAAGTTTATATTTTGATGGAGGTAAGTAATTAATATTAAGAAGTGCAAGAAAATCACGAAAATATTTGCTTTCAATAATGCGAAAAGAAATACCACAAGTAATAAAAAATTTAACCAATGCTTCATGAATTATATTAATATTATCTTTAGTTAAAGGACGAGTATAATAAGAATTTATTGTTGTTTGAGATTGATTACTTGAAGTTTTTGGTTTTTTTAAAACTGACAAAGTATCTTCTGAAACTCGATCATCATTATCTACACTTTTACTTTTAATAATACGAGAGGCAGTAGTTTTTTTAGCTTGTAATTCAATAAATTTAAATCTATCAGGTTGTGGAATATCTTTAAAATGATCAATTATATGAATATACATTGCATCAATTCTTCCATCAAAATCTTTATTACAGTAATTGCATTGAACAGGATATCGTTTTGTCTTCAGATCACGCAATCCAGTTTTGTTAAAAGCATCCCAAATTGGATCTAAGAGCCCCATTTTAGTTAACTTTATTAATAATTTTACAATACGGTTTATTTAATATAGTTAAAGAAGCAAAAGTCTTATTAACAATATAAAATTAAAAAAACTTTGAAAAAATACTAATTCGCTTTTATAATTGAATTTGTGTTTATTAATCTTTATAATTTGACTCATATTCGAATTAAAATATACTCACACTAATTAAAGTTTTTATCAATTATTTATTAATATGCATTATTTAAAATTCCAACTAAATCGATATCAATTTTTTATAAATTAGTACGTGAAACAAGAATAATAAAAAATATTTATTGAAACATTGCATTTTAAAATGCTTACTTTTTCTATATAACGATAGAACTTTAATATAATTATCATTATATATAATTTATTATAATTATTAAAAGCTAACTTTATAAGACGATTTGTATATTTTATTATAATTTATACATATAAATTGTGCAGTTAACAGATAAATACTTGCTTTAGTATCTTTTAATTATAGAAATCTTGTATCTTTCTTAATATAATTATACATAAATTAAATTTAAATTTGTATCAGATCAATTTATATTAACATAAAGATAGATATATATGAGTAGCATAATAATTATTTTGATCTGATACAATTTTTAATTTAATATCAAATATATATGATATACGTCAAATTAAAATTTGAAATTTATTAAAATTAGAGTGAAAATTTGTGTTAGTCGCAAGTGAATATTAGTTATTTTAATCTGATGTAAATATTAGTTTGACACACAATTTATATATTGAGAGGGTGGAAAACAGCGAATTAGTTGCTTGGCTTCAAGTAAACTACAATTGGCTTAGTCAATTGAGGCATGTTAGATTTTGTTGATAGTTTGGGTTCATAGGTAAGTAACTCTCTTTCTTTTTTTGAACTCGGATAACTTAGATACCACAATACTTTGGGTATCTCTTTTAATAACCACAATTACCACAGTCTTTCGGGTAATTGGACAAATGCAACTACAACTAACCACAGTCCTTCGGGTTAATTGAGTATGAGCACCATGGTTAATCTTAGTACTTCAAGATTAGCCAGACAAATTATAGTATAGTATCACGTAGACAAGACAATAATAATCGTACTGCTAGATCACTTTAAACAGCAGATTGGAACTTAGGGTCAGGGGAATTAGTAATAGCTAATCAGAACTTATGTATTTCAGTTTTTATAATTAATAAAGGAACGATTTATCAGAGGTAAATTTGGTATTTTATTTATTAAAAGCACGAAGCTTGTCTTCTTCTATGAGCCTACACGGCCTTTATTTATAATATAAAATTTGCATACAATATATTTAATAAATCTAATTTATCTCATATATGCTTGGAATATTCTTTATCTAATAAAACTATTAAAATTGATATCTTTAATTTATTTAATTTGCCCCTTTTACTCCTTATACTCCTTAACTTTAAGATATGCAATATACGCAGTATATGCAATATATGCAATATATGCAGTATGCGCAATATCTTCACTGTGACCCTGTGATCCGAAGTCATATTATGTCACTGGTCCAGGTTAGATGCTGAATTCGGAGCTCACAATATTAATATATACTGTGTAACATTATCTCGCCATCTTGCCAAATCATTTTTTTAGCCTGCCATGTCTCGCCACTGTTGCCTCGCCAAAATGGCAAGAGATTGCCAGCTTGCCAACCACCCTA